AGTTATTTGCAAGTATTCATGTAGTTATATGTTTTCATGTCTCCTGATATGTCCCTAAGAGTGGAATTATTGGATCATGAGGTAACTCTCATGTGTTAACTTTTTGAGGAACTGCTAGACTGTTTTCCATTTTCCATTCCTACTAACAGTGTGTGAGAGATGTAATTTCTGTACATGCTCAACACTTGAAATTGTCTTTATGATTTTAGCCATCCTAGTGGGTATGCAGTAGAATTTCACTGTGGTTTTGATTTGCATTTCCCAGATAATACTGGGTCAGGTTTGTTTTTGTACATACACTTATTAGGGGAATGGGGCAGAGGATGCCTCTAAAACACAGGTGGGCCAGGTTGAAGGGTTTTATATACCCTGTTAAAATTAAAGTTTATTCCTGGTTAACACATACTGTGATCCTTACCTTTAGGTCAGGAACTTAGCAAGTCCTTAATATAATCTTATGTTCAGGTGCTCCCCAAAACCAACATCATCTATTTCTCCTTCTGAATTACTTTTTCCTAGTGTTATTCAAACTGATACAGTATTATAATTAAGCTTTGTGAAGGAAAATGCGAAAATGTTACTCCCATTTGAAAGACAACATCCTGAAGATGCTGGCAGTGATCTTTATAGATACTCAACTATGTTAAGTAATAGGTTTGTAATAAACACATATGAAAGTAACCACAGGAGGGCCGGCACTGCAGCTCACTAGGCTAATCCTCCGCCTGCGGCACTGGCACCCCGGATTCTAGTCCCAGTTTGGGCGCCGGATTCTGTCCCGGTTGCCCCTCTTCCAGTCCAGCTCTCTGCTGTGGCCCCGGGAGTGCAATGGAGGATGGCCCAGGTGTTTGAGCCCTGCACCCGCATGGGAGACCAGGAGGAGGAAGCACCTGGCTCCTGGCTTTGGATCGGTGCAGCGTGCAGGCTGCAACCTGCCAGCCGTAGTGGCCACTTTGGGGGGTGAACCAATGGAAAAAGGAAGACCTTTCTCTCTTTCTGTCTCTTTGTCTCACTGTCTAACTCTGCCTGTCAAAAAATAAAATAATAAATAAATGAAGAAGAAGAAGAAAGTAACCACAGGAAACATAGTTAAATAAATTAACAGTTAAGTCGATTAACTGAGGCATGGTGATCAACAATGTTTTGAATTTGAGCCAGCCAAAAAGATTAAATTTAAAGCTTTTGGTTATTTTGAATTGTCATTTTTAGCAACTTAGTCAAATCCTGAAGGGAGATGGTACCATTTTAATAATAGCCTTGATTTTTACTATCCAGAACAATAGATGAAATCTGTTGTAGTACAAAGGATCGGTTAGGATATGAAGTTAGGAGGCAGCCCAAGTTTCAGTTAGTGGTATAGGCCTAACTGAATAAATTTAAGTCTTTTGGTCAGTGTTATAATCCATAAATAATTTATTGTGGAAGAAAGATTTGCTGAGGTGCCTGAGCAATCACTACATCTGCTGATACCTCATAAATTCTCAGCTTCATGGTTATCTGTGCTGATGTTAGCATTGATTCAGGCTCAAACAATACTAATTGCAGGTAATTACAAATATTCTAGGCAGCTTATGTGTGACGATTATTTGGTTTATTTTAGTGACTCATGGTGGAAGGGGAGGAATGTTAATGTTGAGAGCATATTTGAACCTTGGAGATTTGTGAAGTGTTTTATTCCCTACTCCCAGATAATAAGATTCCATGTGTACATAAATCTGATAATTTTTTTTAAAGTAGCTGTATGGACCTAAGATATAAAACATAAAATTATAAAAATGCCTAGAAGAATAGAAAAAACCTAGGTGACCTTGGAGCTGACTTTTATATACGATATGACTGAACATTTAAATATTCTCTGTGAAAGACAGTGTCAAAAGAATGTGATAAGCCATAGACTGGGAGGGAATATTTGCAAATGACACATTTGATAAAAAAATTTATCCAGACTATTCAAAGAACTACTAAAACCCAAAAATAAGCAATGGATCAATCTAATTTTAAAAAACATGGGTTAAAGACCAGAACAGACACCTTACTGAAGAAGATACACAGATGGCAAGTAAGCATCTAAAAAGATATTCAACATATTATGTCATTTGTGGATTGTACATTAAAACTAAAGTAAGGTGCCTACTACACATGTATTAGAATGGCTAAAATGAAATGAGGATTTCATTGCTGGTGAGAATGCAAAATGATAGAGTTATTTTGGTGGATAGTTTATCATCTACTAACAAAAAAACTAAGTGTACTCTTTAGCATGTGATCCCGCAGTCAAATTTCTTGATGTTTACCCAAATGAATTGAAAACTTTATCCACAAGAAAGCCTGCATGCAGATGTGTATAGCAGCTTTATTCATCATTGCCAAAACCCAAGAGCAACCAAGATATCCTTCAGTAGGTGAATGGATGTAAACTGTGGTACATCAGACATTGGAATATTATTCATCACTAGAAAGAAGTGAGCTATCAAGCCATGAAAAGACGTGAAGGAGACTTAAAATGCATATAGCTAAGTGAAAGCAGTTAGCCTGAAAGGATACGTACTGTACACATACTATATATTCTGGAAAAGACAAAACTTCGGAGATTGTACGATGGGTAGGCGCCCGAGGATGGTGGGGAAGTGGATGATGAATAGGCAGACATGGGATTTCTAGGGCAGTGAAACTGTTCTGTGTGATATAACACATACCATACGTGGTCCAGACCCCTGGACTACACAGCACCAGGAATGAACCCTAAAGCAAACTGGACTTCGGATGATAATTACGTGTCAGTGTAGATTCATCAACTGTAACAAGTTCTTTAGAAAGTAGTGATTTCTTTTCTGATCATTGTGGGATTTCTGATGTTCAGAATCTGACTTTGTCATTCTTTCTGTCCTGAACGCTTTTAGGACTTAATAAATTGACCAGGCAATATAAAATTATCTCTTCAATGAATAGGGTAGTATTAAGTTTCGTTCATTCATTAGTGCTAATCTGGAAGCACTTTTTGAGAAGATGGGCACTGAGAAGTGATTTCCTTTTGGAGAAAGTTTATTATTGCTTTAAGTTTTTGTGGTTGGAGATAATCAGAATTTTTTTCAAGCATCTAAAAATTCATGGTTTGTATTCCAAACCTGTTGTGTATCATCAAGTAGGAAGTTATGTGATCTTTAATTTATTTTCAGTGATAATTACACTTGCTGCTGTTTAGATTATTTGGACACTAGGAGTTTTTTTTCACATTAGTTTACTTTTTGAATAGGGAATCTAGCCACATGGTTCAGAAATTAAAATGATTTAGGAAACAGTGACATTGAGCAGTCTTCTACATTCTGTTGTTCTCCTTTCCTACAGCATGACTTCTCTTCCTGTGTAATCATCCAATGTTTTAACAAATTAATTTTTTAAAAGAATTTATGTATTTTAGGGTTGGTGCTGTGGTATAGTAGGTTAAGCCTCTGCCTGCGGTGTAGGCATCCCAAATGGGTGCTGGTTTGTGTTTCAGCTGCTCCTCTTCCAATTCAGCTCTCCGCTATGGCCTGGGAAAGCAGGAAGTGGAAGATGGCCCAAGTGCTTGGGCCCTTGCACCATGTTGGAGACCTGGGTGAAGCTCCTGGCTCCTGGCTTTGGATGGACTCAGCTTTAGCTTTGAGACCATTTAGGGAGTGAACCAGTGGTTGGAAGACTGTCTCTCTGCCTCTCCCTTTCTCTGTAACTCGGCCTCTCAAGTAAATAGATAAATCTTTTTTTGAAAATTTATTTTATTTATTTGAGAGAATGTGCGAGATGGAGGAAAGTTCTTATCTGCTGTCTTATCCCCCAGAGGCCTTGGAGCCAGGAACTTTATCTGAGCCTCCTAAATATTGGTGGTGGGGACTCAACTACTTGAGCCATTATCACTTGCTGCCTTCCATGGTGTACATTAACAGGGAGTTAGAATCTCTGAGTGGAGCCGGTACTTAAACTGGAGCACTGCAACATGGGACACATGTGTCCCAACCAGTGTCTTAACTGCTGCACCAAATGCCTGCCCCTAATGGTCTTTATAAAAAAAAAAAAAAAAAAAAAAAGAATCAAATATAAGCAATATATTATTCTAGGATGATGTTTTTTTTTCCCAGATAAAAATGTGATGTGAATTATTATGCATAATTTGTTGCTTATTCAAAGAAAAATCCAGTACTTTCATGAAGATAAAGGTAAAAGTGGCAACCTCTTCATTACTGTACCAGTCCTTGGCTAGGTTGATAGAGAATACTAGAATTACTTAAAAATGCCTTCTTAACTCATCCTGAAAGAAAAATGCCATGGGGGAGGCTAAAAACATAGTAATTGTTGATAGTTTACTTTTCTTTAAGAAGTGTGAACATTTTCAAACATATAGCAAAGTAGAGAGAAACTAGTTTAATGAAATCCCATGTACCCCTCACTCAAATCAGATAGTTACTAAGATTTTCTATTTGATGTACCCATTTTTCACTTTGCTTCTTATTTTAAAGCAAGTCCTGGATACTATGTTATTTTTCCCCTGTGCACTAAAGTACAAGTCTCTAAAATTGTAGATATTTTCTTATATAGCAACAATGCCATTTGTCACACTCTTCCAACTAAAAGAATGGTAAAGAATGTTTAGCTGTTGGCCACATGACTCCAGTCTAAAGCAACTTAACAATTTGGTTTTCAAGGGTGAGGTGACTTCTCTACTGTTCATTTACACAGTGGGTTTTCACAAGGATGCCAACTGGCCCACGCTGAACCTGATAAAGGACACAGAGGCATGTGACAGTGAAAGTCATCCTAATAATGAAGTACACCTCTTGGTGAGCTCCAAGCCACCTTTCCTAAGTAGTTTTATATCAGTTACAATCCATATGAAAATTAACAATTTTAATTCTTGTGAGAGTAAAATGCAACTTTAAGTTTTAAATACATTGTACATTGGTTTTTGATATATGGAATTTTCTGATGGACTCATAACATTAAACTTAACTTTTTTTTTTTTTAAACAGGTCTTTGATTTACGTCAGTGTCATCGACAGATGCAGCAGCAAGCAGCCACTGCACAAGCTGCAGCAGCTGCCCAGGCAGCAGCTGTGGCAGGAAACATCCCTGGCCCAGGATCAGTAGGTGGAATAGCTCCAGCTATCAGTAAGTATGCTTTTGATTTGTGTTAGAATGTAATAGTTGGTATTTCATTTTAATTCACTCAATTGATTTGTTACTTTAAGCAATAACAGAGTTAAAATTCTTTTTACTAGAATAACAGTTGGAAAAAACATTTTTTTGTAAAAGTTGTTCTTCCTATAATAGTTGCCCTTTGCCTACAATCCTGTTAGCATTCTTTTTGTGTCAGAAAGGGAGTATGGGATAAAGGAAAAAGGGGGTTATTATGGTACATTGTTATGTCTCCCTTTTTTTTTTTTTTGTTGATGCTTATTATGATTCCTGCCTCACCAGCAGGGTGGGATTATATTCATTGAAGTGCTTGACTTTATTCTAGTAATGAAAGCATATTTAGGTTTCAGAATTGGACACCTCTCCATTTGTTTTTTTAAAGTGTGGAAAGCATGGAGAGAAAACTAAGTGAGGGTGGTATTTTGATAACGTGTAGACTTTTTTTTAATTTTAGGGTTAAATTGAACTGTGTGCCAGGTTTCACACTGATGGGGAATTTTTTACTGCAGAGTTAAACTCCTGACTATAGACTTTTATGATGGAAACACGTGGCACCCATCTTCCACGTCTGAAGGCATAACTAGTGATTCATTCAACCCCTGTTCTTAACCTCTTCAGTGTGGTAAGCAAATCACACTGGCTAAGAAAACTGCAGTGGCCCTGCAGGTTTCTCTACAGTACATGCAAATTCCTCCCATTAGTTTCATTGTAATATTGATGAATGAAAATTGATTTTATGATTGTATGTGAAAACTAGGTGCAGAGTCTTTATGGTGACTTAATGTTCAGGAGTTTACAATTTAGAGGTAGATAAGGCATATCCATTTAGAGAATTTGATTTTTTAAAAAATTTGGGCATCAAGCCATTAATTTACTAGTTTTGCTGAACATGCTTTTACTAAAAAATCCATAACTATTATTGAATTTCTTATTTTCACTTACTCTCATCTCCGCCTCCCCCCATTGAATGATTGTGTATATCTTTATTGTACTACAGAATTAAGAGACAGACATCAGTTGGGTCATGTAAGAAGTCTTAGTAGAACCAGGAAGATTGTCTTATTAGTCATAATGTACTCGGAACTAGGCTGTTTAGGCGGACAGACAATAAGGTTGTTAGAGCCAATCTGTGGACATGCAGTACCTCTTAAAAACCAGTTTGTTATCCCTTCACCTCCACTTCTAAAGAGAATAATCGGTGGGGTGTTGGTGGATTGTGGTAATTTACTTTGTAGTTGATGGTAGCTAGAAGATACATGTGGAATATAAACTTACCTTAACCAAAAGACTTCAGTCTCTGTTGATAAAATTTAGACCCACAGTTATTTCTTAGCTCTTTGACAAAGAAGTTATATGCTGAGAATGAAGTAAAGAAAGCTGGTCACTTTATTTATAAGAATGTAGGGAGGATGGGAAGAAGTCGCCCCGTTTCTCTGACATCTTCTAAATCTTTTCCGTTAGGTCTGTCAGCTGCTGCTGGAATCGGTGTTGATGACCTTCGTCGTTTATGCATACTCAGGATGAGTTTTGTGAAAGGCTGGGGACCGGATTACCCACGACAAAGTATCAAAGAAACGCCTTGCTGGATTGAGATTCACTTGCACAGGGCTCTCCAGCTCCTGGATGAAGTACTTCACACCATGCCCATTGCAGACCCACAGCCCTTAGACTGAGGTCTTTTACTGTCAGGGCCCTAACATTGTCAGGATGGTGGACTATAAAATGCAATCCTGTTTATTATCTGAAGATATATTTCACTTTTGTTCTGCTTTATCTTTTCATAAAGGGTTGAAAAATGTGTTTGCTGCCTTGCTCCTAGCAGACAGAAACTGGATTAAAACAATTTTTTTTCCTATTTAGAACTTTTCAGGCATGGCTCAGAGCTTGAAGATCAGGAAAAACGCATTCTTACTAAATCTTTACCAGTTGTGTATGAAAGAGTCATTCCAATGCTGGAAAATTTAGCCCTTTAAAATGTCTTAGAGCCTTTTATATGCAGAACATTGATGTGTGTGTTATTCTACAGAATAAATTCAATACTGCTGATTTTAAAGGCAGAGAAGTGCTCAAAGTTAATTCACCTATGTTATTTTGTGTGCAAATTGTTATTGTTGGACAAACTTTACTCCAAAATATTGTGCCATGTGGGTGAGTTAATTTTACCAAGAGCAACTTTACTCTGTATTTAACAAATAAAATAGTAATGTATTATAACCTTTTATCCAAAATATTTTTTGCAAGTTAAACTAGTGAGGTGATTTCAATTCAGATTGTCTTGCAACTCAATTTTCTTTTGACAAGGCAAAACACTAATCTGAGTGTGTATTAAGAATTCTTTAAAATTACTAGACAAAAATGTCATTTAAAATTACATTTGTTATCCCTATTGGATGACTATCAGGGAGTATACTTTTCCCCTATTAAGCAGTAGGTATGTTCGTCTATATACTAGGCACAAGGTTGGCTACTTTGGCCTAGAAGAGGAATTTCTTTTCCTTCATTAATTCATAGGGAAAAGTTTTGTATTTTTAAAAACACTAAAAGCAGTGTCACTCAACATAGTATTTCACTGTTCTGCAAAGGTGACAGTGCTTAATCTAAATGAATATTTTGGAAACTGGTAAATTCTGTGTTAAATACTGTGCAGAATAATGGAGACATTACATACAGTTCATACTAGGTAGTTTGGATATTTTTGTACTTGATTTGATGTGTGACTTTTTTTTCATATACTGTTTAAATCATGTATGTTATGATATTGTTTAAAATTCAGTTTTTGTATCTTGGGGCAAGACTGCAAACTTTTTTATACCTTTTGGTTATTCTAAGCCCTTTGCCATCAATGATCATATCAATTGGCAGTGACTTTGTATAGAGAATTTAAGTAGAAAAGTTGCAGATGTATTGACTGTACCACAGACACAATATGTATGCTTTTTACCTAGCTAGTAGCATAAATAAAACTGAATCTCGACATACAAAGTTGAATTCTAGGTTTGATTTTTAAAATTTTTTTCTTTTGCACTTTTGAGTCCAATCTCAGTGGCAAGACACCTTCTACTAAATGGCAGGCAACAGCCAGTTCTATTGGGCAGCTCTGGTTTTTCTCTCACACTCTACCAGGACTTTCCCATGGATATTGTATATTACATGTAGAGTTGGTTATTTTTTGAATTTTTATTTTGCTGTAGCAAAAATAAGCCTAGTTGTCTATGTAAAAGAAGGTCTACGCGATAAATATTGTGAAATATATCAAGGATTATCTTTCAGATGATTTTTTGTTTGTGAAGGGTCCTTGTAAACTTACAACGACTAAAGTGTGTTACAGATTTGAGCCATAGAAGCACTTATGCGTAATAGTCCTTTTTATAACAGCTGACATGAACAAAGCTTTTTCTGCCTTGCTTAGAAGGTCTCCTTTATAGGGCCATCCTGTAGTTCTGCCACTGAGTTTGCTTATTGCTGTGATTGAAACATAAATTCTGATCCAGGCTACGCATCTTCTGTTTTTTAAATAACTTCTCTACCAACTCATTTGTACTTTTGAATACTCAAGTACTTTCAGTGAAGACCTAATTTTCATCTGTAAAAGTTAAATGATTTAAGTTTTGTTGACAGAAGTATAAAAAGATACCTTCTTTAGAAATTTTTATCTTTAGGCCTGTTTTACTGTGAAAGAAAAATAGGAATGAGAGGAGAGAGTCTTATAATGAGAATTTTAAGAATCCAGATTATTTGATTAGAACCCTAACCATGCAATGGTACCATCCATTACCTCCTTTTCTACTTTAAGGAAGGTTTTCATGTTTATTCACCTGCTGGAAGTATATAGAAAGTATTTGCTAAGAAATATCTCTTTATAGCCAAACCACCAGTCTTGGTTTCTTTCTACTAAGAGCCATAAAATATAGAAGTTTTTCTAGTTATTAGTTGTTACATTACCTAGATTGAGGCATGAGCTTTTGAGAAAACACCTATGTTATGATCAGCTGTTTCTCACAGCTTGGTTATTAAACTGTGTTTCTATTTCTTAGATGTGGTCACCTTTGATAAGACAAAAAAAGTTTCCCCAGGTTTAAAATTTTTTGTGTGCTTTGAGGATAAAATAGTTTCCACAGTTCTCAGAAATTGATTATTGTCAGGATATGGTTCTGGGTAGGTTTTCTTTAATTCATATCTCAAAGACTCTCTGAATGTTGAATTTCAGTGAAAGCGGAACGAGAGGGGAATCAAGTACAGCCAGTATGAGACCCATTCCACTTTTGCCGGTGCCTTTCATGAAGTGTATTATCAAAGGGAATCCTTAATGGTATTGCCTTTATTTTCCAGGGAGTGATTCTTTTTTGGGATATAATTTATCTTGTTTTTTATAGTTTGCTGCCCTGGTATACAGAGATAATGATAATCACTGCCATTCAGTCTTGTTTTTCCAGAAACATAGCTCCTTTATAATGCCCTAGACATTGAATAGGTCCCCTGTCCCATTCCTCCTGCGAAAAGTACAAGTTAATAGGTTTGATGATCCAGCTTAAGGTTAACCATTCTTGAAACATCCAGGTAAACAACACATCTTAACTGTGTTATATATCGAAGTTTAAAATGTCCTTTCTTCTAGATGAGAAATCATCCAATTTTAAGTTTATTGCTAATTGCAGGAAAGTAATTGCAGGTATCTTTTTGACTGTGGCCATCTGGGAAAGAAAAATTTTACATGGTCTTTAAGTATCCGTGGAGGCTGAAGACTAGAAAGTGAAATGTTTCTGCTCTGTTTTGATGGGCACTGACCGTCAGTTGCTCTCTAATGATTTGATGCCAAGTCAGGTTAGTTCAGACTTTTTTTGAAAGCCTTTGGAAGAAGCAATTTTTTCTTCTGAGAGAGGCCGAATTCTTTACGTTGATCATTTCTGTAGTTCTCTTTATCATTGTCATTGTATTCAATGATAGCGGATGGGGATAATAGTGAATTTAGGTTACCGAGGTACTGAGTGTATGAAAGCATATTGCATATAAAGTCTGTTAACTCTTTCAGAGGTGGAGTTTGCCCGAGACTAACAGATAACTGGGAAGAAATGCTTCTTTCTCCCCCTAAAGGCAGAACCTGTTTCATTGCAGATGACTAAATCCTCCTTGGCAAGATTCTGGGAAATAAGCTATGAGAACATTTGCAGTCTCTACCATTTTTCCCCTGGTTGAATAGATAATTTTTGTTCTAATATACCAGGAAGGAAGTAAAAAGTCAGCGGCCTTATTCCTAGCTTTGGTTTCAGTGCTGTTAAGTGGTTTATCTTGTTTTATCTGGCGTCAAGGTGGATTAAAAATTTACACATAATCAAAACTTGCCTTATTTAAGCGGTAAAACTTTTTTCCAGCCATTTTTGATTGAGTTACTGAATTTGTATACCTGGATTTGCTGTTTTTTTTTTTTTTTTTTTTTTTGACAGGCAGAGTTAGAGAAAGATCTTCCCTTTTTTTTTCGTTGGTTCACCCCCCAAATGGCTGCTATGGCCGGCGCACTGCGCTGATCCGAAGCCAGGAGCCAAGTGCTTCCTCCTGGTCTCCCACGCGGGTGCAGGGCCCAAGCACCTGGGCCCTCCTCCACTGCCTTCCCAGACCACAGCAGAGAGCTGGACTGGAAGAGGAGCAACCGGGACAGAATCCGGCGCCCCAACCGCGACTAGAACCCGGAGGATTAGCCAAGTGAACCACAGCGCTGGTCGAATTTTTAGTCTTTTTAACTCCTTTTCTGCCCCTGAACTTTTTCCTTCTCAGCAGCTGCTCCATCACGTTTTCCTTTTCTTTAGTATTCTCTTCTTACTTTTCTATTTCTACTTGGGCAAGGAAACCAGATAACCAAACTTACTAGAACCTTTTCTAAAAACACAGTACAAGCTGTGGTGCAGGACCCAAATGCTTTTCTATAAAGTATTGAAAAGGACTTCAGTGTACTGGCATTCAACATTGCATGGAATGTTTCCTGGTTCTTGCTGGATTTCAGGTAGTTGAGGTAAAGAGAAGTAAGTCATATTCCTATTTTTCCACTTTAGAGCAAGGCTTGGAAAGGTTGCATTGCCTCCACTTCAGTGCTGATAATACAGAAACTGGTGTTGCAGGGGTTCCTACATTAGCATCAGTAGCCTAAAGGACACCAGCAAACACACACACAACACACAGAAACACAGAACAAACCTTGGGAAATGGAAGAGCCATTTTTGTTTCGTTTTGGTGTCCCCTTTTCAGCTGCATCTTCTGGCCTTCATCCTCTATAGATACTTTGACCTTTAGGTGCCTTTATGGGAATTGAGGGTCTGATATCCTGCCCCAAGGAATAGCTAAAGTTACTGCTGATGTTTTCAGGGATTTTCACATCAGACTTGAATGGATGAGTGAAGCTCTTTACCTTTTCTTAAATGTGGGAAGGACTGAAGACATTCGGTGAAGACAATCATTTCTCTCCATTGATGTGGATGGTTTTCACACAATTTATTTAGGATGCTCTCACACTAGCTCTAGAGCCAGTATTCTGGATCTGATTAAAGGCTCTGGGTTAGACCAGACAGTTGCTCTGCCACTAATTTGATGTGTGACCTTGGGCAAGTCATTCACTGTCTCTGGGCCTCAGTTGCCTCATCTGTAAAATGAGGGGAGTTGGACTAGATTTGTTCTTCCAGCTCTGAATTCCAAGTGACCTTGCCTACCTCACAGCAGTTTGGGTTTCTTCCTTACCTTTGCTCTGCTGTTGGAGGGGGCTTTTTTCTTATTTCTGTGTTATTTTAAATGAGACTAGGCTTGATATTTTATTACTGTTCTCCGATGGACAAGAAGTTACATAATATGACCTTATGACTTAATTTTAACCAAAGGCCAGCACACCATAGGGACTGCAATAAACACTTTACACAAAACAAAAATCTGAGAAGAGGGGTGGGGAAAGCCTTCATTTACTTTTTCCATCATCTCTGTTCAAAGTTTTTAAAGGTTTTGAGTCATGACATTCCAGCTTTCACATTGGCATGTGTGACACCATCCTCTTAAGTGCTGTGTGCTGGCAATTTTTTGTTTTTGTTTTTCAACTAAAATGGATGGAAAACCTATTATCAATGCCTAATGATATTAGAGATCATTATTTTGAGTCTTTGGTTTCTTAACTCATATGTGCTCAAAACAGGGAGATTGTTCTGAACTGCATCAATTAAAATGGTTTACTTGTATATGACTCAAGAAAACAATACCAGTGTATGATTACTCACTTTATTTTTGGCTCTTTTGATTAGATAACTTCTGGCTGGATCATTCCTTTCAGAATTGTCTTCCAGCCTGTCCTTGGATGAGTAGAATCAGTGGACTTGGCTTTTTCAAGGACCTGGGGAACCTTCTTAAGGGGAAGGGTGGGGTGGGGACTGGGGAGTCCTGGTAGAGGCCAGCTCTGTGGAAGCTGGAGAGGAAGGAATGAAACCAGCTGCTGTTGCTGAGGCTGCTTGTCACTGATAGAAGGACTCATGGGCTTGGATTGGTTAAAAAGGCTAAACACAGAGTTGGCAGACTTCCTCCAAATACTGGCTTCTGTTCAATGCATTAGACATGTGATTTAAGGGAAAAGTCTGAATGGCTCTAGATGATGAAAACCTGGTGGGCTGCAGAGTCCAGTTTGGAAGAAGTGACTGAGGTGGTGGGGACAGATTTGGTGGTAGTGTTTTCCAACTCCGTCTCCTCTTCTGAAGTCAGAGGAATGCAGCTATGCCAAAACCCAGAGAAGAGCCACTTGTTAGCTTCTGCTTTTGGGAAAACTGGTCAGCTGAAGCTCCCGTAGTTCCTTTGTGGCTTTCTGTATACTTTTGCTTGGTTGAAGTCTGTGGCTAAAAAATAGTTGAACCTTTCTTGAGAACTCTGTAACAAAGTATGTTTTTGATTAAAAGAGAAAGCCAACTAAATCATTATGTGCTCATTCTTTTTCTTAAGCTTGTGGATGTCTTGGATCTGGAAAGAGTTCCTCATCACGTAGAGAATTCTCAACTTGAGGTCAGCATTTTCCTTCATTGCCTTCACTCCTGTGGCCACTAAAATGGGAAGAATTAATGGTATTTCAGATGTGACCCTGGAATAACATTCCCTGTTTTTTTTTCTCATTTCTAAAAGGAGGGTGTGGAGCTATGGTGATTGGAGAAGAGGTAGGGTTTAGGGGCTTTGATGCTTAACAGAGAAATAGAAATTGAGAATTAGAGACCCTATAGTTGCCCATGTAAGGATTTTAAAAAGCTATTTTTTTCTCCCAGCTGCTTCTGTATAATGAGGATCAAAGTGGGCAGTGGAGGCAGGGGAGAGGGAGCATCAAGTAAGGGGATTCTGTCTCAAAGGCTTGTCAGTAGCACAGCCACACCAATATTTTCTTTCTGATATGACTGACACGAGGTCCCAAGATGTTTATCAGACAAGAAACTTGTTCTCACCTGTTTGCTAACCTGAGGTTAACAGTATTTTAGGCTAGAACTTGAATAGGGTATTAGGTTGACGTTCAGTTGAAGAAAACAAACAAAACCAATTCTTTGTGGAGTGCTTCAGAAGGAAGGGCAGTTGTGTGTATTCTTCATCTCTCTGCCCTCCACTCTTGAGCCTTGATTCTTTGTGTTCTATTATTACATACAACTCTCCCACAAATGGCAGTCTCAAAAGGTAGGATGTTCTTATCTCCTGCAAACCTTCCTTACCCCACTGCCTCACTGATAAATTGCAGAGCCCGTTCCCACCAGCCTTTATGTTCTGTTAGTTTGGGCCCTGCTTTTGGGGTAGAATCCATATCTGCATTCTGATGTTTTCCTGTTGGACCACCATTTGATCTCAGACAGATGGACAGGATATGTTCAGGCAGACCAAAGGATGTGTTGCTAGAAAACCTACCCTAAAGAATGGTTAAAGAAGGGGCATCAGCATTGTGGCACAGCAGTGTAAGCCACCACCTATGATGTAGCATCCCATAGGAGCTCCGGTTGTAGTCTCAGCTGCTCCACTTGTGATTCAGTTTCTTGCTAACGCACCTGGTAAAGTATTAGAATATGGCCCAAGTACGTGGGCTCCTGCTATCCTTGTGGGAGTTACAGATGGAGTTCAGGCTCCTTGCTTTGGCCTGGCCCAACAATGGCTATTACACCCATTTGGGGACTAAACCAACGAATGGAAGATCTGTCTCCCATTCTCTCTGTGAATCTGTCTTTCCAAAAAAAAATAAATAAATAAATAAAAAAAAATGGTTAAAGGAAGTTTTCTGAACAGCAGAAAATGATGAAGAAAGAAAATTTTGGAACATTGAGAAGAAAGAAAAAACATGGTAAGCAAAAATATGGGTAAATATGCTCTCCTGAGATTTCTAACTTGTTGTTTAATTGAAGAAGAAATTATAATACTGCCTAAGGTAGTTCTGAATTTATCTCGAGGAAGTACTTAAGACATTATGAACAGGGAAGCATAAAGAGATGTATAGGATTGTAAGTTTTCTATATTTCATTCAAATTGGTAAAATGACAGTGGTAGGCTGCAGCAAGGTATGTATAAGTAATGTAATACCTAGTACAACTACTAAAAAAGCTCTACAGAGAGTACTATAGGTACAGGGGAACTCTAAAACATATTCAGGTGGCTCAGAATAATGCAGAGAAAGAGAAACAGAAAATACAAAAACAGATATTGGCAGAATAGATTAAGAAACGTGACCCAACTGTGTGTTCTCTACGAGAAACTCACTTCAAACATATGAAGGCAGAAAAAAAATGTATGTTAGGTAAACATTACCTATTAAAGGAAAGCAGATAAGATAGAGCAAAAAGAAGCAACATAGGGGAATTATATGATGATAAAAGGGATAGTCCATTAAGGAAATGTAATCATGGATGTGTATGTACCCCCCGAGCTACAAAAAAAGAAGTGAATGGAGGAATATGTCCACAACTATAGTTGGGGACTACCACACCTCTCGATCTAGGAACAGCTAAACATAAGATCATCAGTTATTTAAAAGAATTCAATATTATCATTAGCCAGTAAGATTTAAATGACGTTTATGGGATAAAGTATTCAGGAACAGCAAAATACATGTATTTTTCAAGTGTTAACAACATAGACTACCAAATTCTATTATGGGCTGTAAAGCAAAGCACATTTATAAGAACTAGAATTATATGGAATTATAGTGGAGTTATACAGAATATTCTCTGACAACATGTAATGGATGTGGGCATCAGTAACATAGATAGCAGGAAAAAATCTCCAAACAGTTGAAACTAAGAGCACACTTCAAAACAATCTGTGCATCAAAGAGGATGTCTCATGGGAAGTTTGAAAAGCTGAATTGAATGAAAGTGAAAATAAGGGATGCCAATGTTTGTGAGATATGGCTAAAGCAATGCTAAATTAGGCTAAATTTATAGCATTAAATGCAAACCTTAGAAAACAAAGACCAGGCAGGCATTTGGCCTAGTGGTTAAGCTGCTGGTTGGGATGCTTGGGTCCTATGTTGGATTACCTGGGTTCCCTCTCAATTTCAGCTTCCTACTAATGTGCACCCTGTGATGACTGAAGTAGCTAAGCTAGATCACAGCCATGTGGGAGCCCTGGATTGAGTTCCTTACCCTCTGCTTCAGCCTGGCCTGGTCTGGGTCATTCAGAGAGTGAACTTGGGGATGGGAGCTCTTTGTCTTTTTCTCATTGCATCTCTAATTAATTAATGAATTAATTAGAAAAGAGGAAAACCCTCAAATCAATACTCAAAACTCCCACTTCCAGCCCCCTAAAAAGAAGAGTGAAATAAATAGAAAGCAAGCAAAAAGAAGGAAATACAGAGAGCTGAGATCAGTAAACCTGAAACAGAAAAACAATGAAAGAGCTAGTTCTTTGGCAAACTAAGCAGCAAGACTGACAGAAAGATGCATATTACCAGTTTGGGGAAAGAAGCTATCACTACAAACTGGACATCAAAAGGATAATAATTGAATACATGATTTTAATAACTGATGAAACTGACAATTGCTTGAACTACTATAACTTACCCAATATAAAAGAGATTATTCAAATAGGCATATAGCTATTAAGAAAATTAGACCCATAATTTGAAAAATCCTAAAAAGGAAACCTCTAGCCCAGATGATTTCACTGAAGAATTGTTACTAAAGGAGAATGAATAACAATTCTGTAGTCTTTTCCAGAAAATAGGACAAGGGAATGCTTCTCAATTTATTTTATGAAGCTAGTATTACTCTGAAAGATAATGCAAAGAAAACTACAGACTAATATCCCTTAAGTATTTATAGGAAAATCTTGAACAAAACATGAGCAAATCGAACAGCAGTGCATAAAAAAGAATGATAAATCATGACAAAATGAAGCTTGTTCCAGGATTGTTTGAATGGTTCAGTATTTGAAATCAATCTGACCGCATTGTTGAGCCAGAGAGGAAGAATCTCATTGTCCTATCAATTGATTCAAAGCATGTGACAAAATCCAGTGTACATTCTTGATAAGAACTCAAAATAGGAATAGAGAATTTTCTCTACTTGATAGAGTCCTCATAAAAAACCCACATACTTAATGGTAAAAACTTATTGCTTAGGTCAGGAACAAGGATGTCTCTTTTAATAGTGCTGAATGTGTTAGCCAGTGTAATAAGACAAGAAAAGGAAATAAAGGTATTCAATTTGGAAAGGAAGAAAACAAAATGGTCCCAATTATGACTGTGTAGAACAGCAATAGGAAAGTATGAGGGGGCTTCAGAAAGTTCATAAAAAATGGAATTCAAAGGATTTCATTTTTGTGCAGAAATTTTTAAAAATTCATGCATAAGAGGTATTCAAAAGTTCATGGAGAATGTGTATTGTGAAAAAATTGCATGGGTTTCAGAATTTTTTACAACAACAAATTTATCTTGTAATTTTTAATTTCCCACAAACTGTTTGAAATATCTATGTATTTTTTTGAAAATCCTAAATCCAATAATTGAATGCTATGTTAGGATAAAAGCTCTTTGTACAAAAAACACCCAAAAAAAACCCTGTAGTTTTAATAAATGTGGATACAAATTAAAAATGCCATTTATAATCACTTTTAAAAAGATACTTGGGAGTAAACCTAATAATGTGTAGGACTTACATACTGAAAATTACATAGTGCTGATAAAGATTGAAAATGGAAAAATACTGTTTATGAATTGGAGCACTCAGCATAGAAAATATGTTGATCCTCCCCAAATTTTTATTAGAATTGATAGACAGCATGCACAAAACTCTTGATAAGAATTTTATATTCATAGACAAGATGATTGTAAAATTTATGAAAGATAAACTATTATGAATGTACATGTATTGTATGAATTGTATGAATACTTCATGCAATTTTGAAAAGAATAAAGTGGGAGGAGTCAATTTCAAGATATTTAGCTACAGTAATCAAGACTGGTATTGGCAGATACAAAGGTCAGTGGAAAAGAGCAAAGAACCTAAAATCACACCCACACAAGTATGTACAACTTTAAGCTATATTTGTTTGTTGAAAAGCAGATTAAAAGAGAAAAAGGTACAGATCTTCCATCTGCTGGTTCATTCCCCAAATGGCTGCAACAGCCAGGTGTAGGTGAGGCCAAAGCCAGGAATAAGGAAGATCCTTGTCTCCTACATGGATGGCAGGGGCCCAAGTGCTTGATTTTTGTTGTTGTTGTTGCTTTCCCAGGCACAGTAGCAGGAAGGATCAGAAGTGGAGCAGCTGGGACTCCAAACTGGCACTCTGATACAGGATGTCAGCAGTAGAAGTGGTGGCTTAACCTGGTAGACCACAATGCCGGCTCCATAACTTTTTTCAAAGATGCAGGAGCAATTCAGTGGTGGAAAGTTAGCCATTTACCAAATGGTGAAGAAAATAGACACACATAGACTGAAAAATGAGCTTTGACCCA